GAGCAAACAGGCAGTCATAATTGAAAATGCAAAATCAAGGAGGAACGGAAAGCGTCCGTGCATATTATTGAGGCGATGCACTCAGGTAGTACATTCCATTCTGAAATCGCTAGTGGAAAAAATGAGTGATTAAATGCGTTAGTGGATCCAGAGATGAGCTGCACACAGTTAGAGTTCGTTAATCTACGAGAGGATCGGGGAGGAGGTTGTAAAAGCATCGATCTAATGTCCGGATTATGGTAGAGTATTGTGTGAAATAGGCAGAGACGCGAGCATTTACGGCGGGTAGCTAATGAAGTTAGGTTAAATTGAGACTTTAGAGCCGTAACGCTAGCAGCACGATCGTATACGCCTCGCAAGTGGGCTCATTTTCGTCTTCTGCGCACGAGAAAGGAAGTAGCGGCGACGTCAGAATGCCGAGCCCTAATTGGCTGATCGCGATCCCCTTTCTGAGCGTCGTCTGCTCCTTTGCAACGTCGTCTGCGTCTCCTGCGACTTTCGGAAGTCGAGCGAGCTCGACTTCGCCTTTCAGAGAGGGCAGACGAAATAACTCGAGCGGTACGTTGTTTTTGTCTAACAACTAGCAGACGCGCATCAAGAAGGGAAGTCAAAGGACTCACTGGCGAGGTGTCCCGAGGCGCCGAGGTTTGTTTGCCAAGAACCGAGAGTGAGCGTTTTAGTGTCCGCAAGTTCCCTCCCAAATACTTTTTCCCTCCTTTCGAGTGCGGCGAGACCCCTCACTCTTTAACGGCGTCGGCGGGTTGGCGCAGTTAACGTCGTCTGCTTTACGTCTGCTAGTCAAAGCGATGGCTGCTTTACCTTTCCTGCGTCTGTCGGAGATTCACCGCTTTTTTACCGGCGAGAGTCACCGTTGCTTCGGAAAACAAGGCGATGACAAGAGGAAGAGATTGACCACTTAATCTAAAATTGAGGTCAGCGATCAAAGTATAATACGGGAAGGGTTCACAAGGGTCGCGCGGGCATATTCCATTCAGCAGGCCAGCCGGTCGTGGGCAGACGGTCGCCGAGTCGCGGAGTACCTGCTAGGCCTAACTGGCCAGCTCGTTTGGTCGCGTTCGGTGGAATCGTGGCCGTTGGAGCTTTTCCCGGGTGTTTGTGGATCCAGCGTTCTTGTTCGTCGTGGTCTGTTTCAAGTACTTTTTACTTTTTTCTTGCTGCTTGAAGTTGGGACGCGTGAGAAACGCACGTAGAAAAATAAACGTCCGTTGGTCGTCGCGACCGCGACGCTGTCGTCCATGCTGATTCGATGGTAAAAAGTAAGTGCGTACAGCTTCGGAGCTGTCGTTCGATTCCGTCGTAACCTGCGCAAAACTTACGAAGATTACGTTTCGTGAATACGAATTTGTTCTTAAGTTTTGTCTTACGCACATTTTTGCGGTAAGATCGTTTCGTGAATCTGGCCTCTGCGCTTCCGAAAGTCGCAGGAAAGGTAAGACAGACGCAAACGACATTGCGAGCAGACGACGTTGCAAAGGAGCAGACGACGCTCAGATAGGGGGGCTCGATCAGCCAATCAGGGCTCGGCGTTCTGACGTCACCGCTACCCCCTGCGCAAGGAGCAGACGAACTTGCCCTCCGCATACAGAAAGCATGTAGCGAGCGGCACGATTTTGGGTGGCTTCAAGTTGGGTGGTAAGGTAGATTTGGTGAAGGCTCCAGATGGTGGCGGCGTACTCAAGTTTTGGTCTCACGAATGTCTGGTAAGCTAAAAGACGAAGATTCAGAGGAGCAGAGTGTAGGCAGCGTCGGATGTACACCAAAGTTTTTAATGCGGCGAGTGAAATGGATTCGATGAGAGCGGCCTAGGATAAATCGGAGGTAAGGAGTACACCAAGGTACTTGTATGATGGGACGTCTTCAGTGGGTTGGGTGCCAAGAGAATATATGCATGGCGAGACAGAGCGCCTGCGGGTGAAACGTACGAGTTTGCACTTTGAATAATTTAGGCTCATCTGCTAGTCGGAACACCAATTCATTATGGCAGACAAGTCATTCTTAAGGAGCACATGGTCGTCCGGAGAAGAAATTGGTCGGTATAATACACAATCGTCAGCGAAAAGACGCACTTTGGAGGAAATGGAATGAGGGAGATCATTAATAAATATTATAAAAAGGAGAAGGCCGAGGACCGACCCCTGGGGTACTTCTGACGTAACGTTGCATAAACCAGATTCGTTACCGTTCACAATTGAAAGCTGTGCTCGTGAAGAAAGAAAATTGTGAATCCATGAAATGACGCTATCGTTTATTTTGAGTGCAGAGAGCTTTAAGCGAAGATACGGAACCCCATCAAATGCTTTCGAAAAGTCAAGAAAACTTGCGTCGGTCTGATAATGAGATTCGAAGTTGGCATGAATTTCATGGGTAAACAGCGACAAAAGAAAAACCCCTACGAAAGCCATGTTGGTGGTCGAAAAAGAAGTGGTTTTGATCAAGATGAGACACGACATGAGAAAAAATTACATGCTCTAGAAGTTTGGATGGGATACAAGTTAACGATATAGGTCTGTGGTTAGAGGGTAATGATCGATCACCATCCTTGAAGACCGGTATGACGTTTCCCACCTACCAGTCCGGAGGAAGACGTCCCTCGGCCAATGACTGCGTATAAGAGCGTGAGTTACTCGCTTGATATGCCTTTTGTGTTTATGAAGATTTTTGAAGAAATATTGTCAGGTCCGGGGGATGATGAAACTTTGAGACGATCTATAAGCCCGGCTACGCCGTCAGGGGCGATGATAATAGGTGCCATGGTGTTATAAGGAGCTGGTGGGGATGTAGGGATGTTCCAAGAGTTCTCGCAAGTAAAATCAGAGGCAAAGTACTCGTTCATTACTGAAGGGCAGGAAACTTCAGGGACAGGGCAGCCGTTGGCATCAATCAAACAAATAGACCGGGCGTGGTCACTTGGAGAAATAAGGGTCCAGAATTTCTTGGGGTTGGTTTGCAGGAGGGTGGGTAGGTCTCTATTGAAATATTTGTATTTTGCCGCTTTACTGGCGGGTATACTCTTCAAGGCATTCATGGTAGGAGTCCCATGCTAGTGCAGACGGGTTCTGTTTAGCTTTTCTGAAAAGACGCTTTTTCTTGTTCCCCAGAGACTTAATAACATTGTTGAACCAAGGACTACAGGTGTCACTGTGATGACGAATCAATGGCACCAAACGCTCAATAAGATCATACAATTTGTTCCTAAACAACAGCCAGTTGCACTCGACCGTTCTTGTGGAGTATTCGGCAAGAAAGTGTACGTAATATGCAATTAGTTTTCTATTCATTTCCGCGTAGTCAGCCCTATTGAAATCATGATTCATTTTTCATTCTTTTTCATATAACATTTTTTTTTCTATCTAGGATGTTAAAAAAAATGTTTTTTTCCTTTGCATGTGTCCTTTAATTCTTCCGCTCTTCTGTCACTCTCTTTTCCATTCTTCCTCTCAGAACCACCGATGTCAGCACTTAACGATTTGCTGCGCTGTGCCTTGGCCTCACGTTTCTGAAATCAAGCGCCCAAAGTGCCGTTTTACGGACCTAAAATTGGCAAATTCAATTCCCGGCCAAGATGCCCGCAATTTCACTGAGGCTTATTGCGGAGGAGGCGCCGTGTAACTGAGATTATAGCTGCGCACCGAAAGGTCTCGATGTGACGTAAATTAATTATGGTATTTGCTGGGGCATGGCAGACGCCTTTTGTTGGTTTTGCACGTAAACTCCAAACTCCGTTTACTTTTACATTTGTGTGATACAATTTTAGGCTACTTCTATGAGGCCCACGTGCCATATAACCAGGCTACTATACTGTTTGCAAAGTTTTATTTTAACTGATTAATTTCCAGATGCGTGGTATTTATTTCTGTCTCACCTCTGTTGTAATTAGCTTCTTTTCTTTGTGCCACTGACACAGTAAAATAAGATAGCGGCCTTCTTGTGTTAGGTGATTGCTGATTTTCCTTTCTCGCGACAGATGTTGAGGAGGAGGGCGAAGATTGGAGGAAGCCAGAAAAGTAGAACAAGAATCGTTTGGAAAGAGCTCGGAGTCGGACTTGCGAAAATTCTGAATCGTAACTCGCTAATGTTTATGGGACGAAATCTGTGGTGACTATATACCACCGTATTTGGATAGGCAGTTGAATGCAGAGAGCTTATGTAATGTCCTGAGTCGATGCTCACCCTGAAAGGTAGTTATTATTATTATTTTTTTTTAAGGTGGGTTTGGCCAATGTTTTTGTGTTTGAAATGTTTGGGGGAAAATAAATTAATTGTTGATGATGCGCTCGAGGACGCCTGTTCTAGGGAGAAGAGAATACTTTGAACCCCGATTTCTGGTTCCCGCTCCTTTCTCTTCTTTTGGAAACTGAAGACAAAACGAGCTTTTTTTTTTTTTTTTTTTTTTTGTCTGTTTGGCATGCAACGCATGGTTTCTCTTTTCACACGTGTACATTTACTAAACACTAAAAAAAGCAATGAAACGTGATTTGGTAAACGTGTGGAAAAATTGAGCGTCCTTGAACAGTATATGTCTGCTTTTTTTCTGTTTATGAAGATGTTTCTCTCTTTCGAACACACAACTGGTTTGCATTGGAAACATTTGATAATTTGGTAATGTATTTTTTATTTTATTTTTAAATATAATTTTTTTTCCTCAAAATAGGAGAGCGATGTTTTCAAGAAATTTAAACTTTTTGGAGAGCCAGCTTGAATTGTCAGCTGAGAAACACAAATTGAATGTAGAAGCAAACGCTTCCCAATTTCGTTTTGTGTGAGGCTCCCTTTCTATATTCTGCATAAATTGGCGTGTTTACTTTAATTCTTTAGAAAGCTTAAGAAGTTTTTTTATTATTATTATTCATTCAACATACCCGTATAAACTCAAACGTACTCGTCACCACATACCAGGCAGACATGCTCATGGTGTAAAAAAGGACATACAGAAAGGGACTGGAAAAAGTCTTGGAGGCTTAGCCTTCCCATTTGTAAGTATGACATATTCAAATGCAGTGTTTGCGAAGCAGCGTCGGGACGTGCAGCTGATGGATGCCGAGCTGCGGCCAGTGGGGAACGATGCCCCCCTGGGCTTTGGCAGCCTAGTGAGCACAGACTGCCAGACCATGGGCATCCTCCGGCTGCAGCCTGGAGTGGCCAAGAGCACCTCCAAGAGCTTGGATCACGATGTGGTGTGGACTTAGTGTATTTCTTTCTTTTCTTGTGCTTTAGTCTTACCCGGAACGAAAAGAAACCTAGGTATACGACTTTTTAGCGAGCCATACGGTCAAACGTCCTTATAACTAATGTCTCTACTATGACAATCCCCGTTCAACGAAGTAGTCCTCACCCATATTTTACGCGCTCAATGTGTTATTATAGACCGTACAACTGCTTAATGAATAGAACACTGACAGTAGCGGCAGATGTAACAGCCACATGAAGGTCATGTCATAGATGCATCAAAACCTCAAGCAACCGCAAAATGCGGCTTCGAAGCCCTGATTTTGTTAACCATAGTTTTGTTTAACCCGAGACTGGGGTATTTCGGAAAAGGGACGAGAAGAAAAGAGGCCACAAGGAGGCGACGTCTCAAACACGGGATCCGGCCAACTCGTCGAAAGCCAACTCGTCGACGGCCAACTCGTCGACGGCCCATTTGTCGAATAGGGCAATCCGTATTAAGGCAATTCGTCGAAGGGCAACTTGTCGAATGGGGCAATCGTTCGAAGGGCGATTCGTCGAATGGGTTGATTTACGGTCCACGGTAAAAGTTCGTGGTTCCTTTTTATCTTCTCACCTAAATTTTTATTTGTGTTCGGACTAGGGACACCGCCTTTGTTAAGTTACAAGATTGAAAGAAAACTTACAAGAGGGTAAAGACGGAGAGAACCTTTAGACAAGTTGAAAAATGTGTCATATCGGGATTGTCCCTTAGTTACCTTTCTTTATTACTTCTTTTGTAATGAGCCGCCGCAGACTGTCGCCGCGAATGGCGTGAACGGGTGGGTCAGTTGGGTCAACAATTTTGTGGTGATCCGCCCCAGACGGTCGCCGCGAAGCGGCATCAACTGATGCGCCGGGTGGGTTAACACGCGCCCCAGCGATACACGAGCGACGTAGTGACCGTGCCCCATTTTACCGTGAAAGTGGCGAAAGCGGCAAGGGTTACCTTTGACAAAAAAGAGCAGACTGGATGTCATTTTTTTTTAAAGAGAGTGCCTATTGTAAACATTTTTTACGAAAGAGTTGCACATAAAAGACAAAACACGGATTATTATAGGGCAGTATTTGCTTTAAAATTGAAGGAAAAGGATTATATATTTGGCTTTAAAGAAGCGGCGACCAGATGGCCTTTTCGACGAGTTTTCCTTCGACCAGTTGCCCTATGACGAATAGGCCTATTCGACGAATGGGCCGGCGACGTGTTGGCCGTCGACGAGTTGGCTTTCGACGAGTTGGCCTAGACCCCTCAAACACAGCTAAGGATTTTATTCCATCGTATGCACTTTTATACACACCACGTCCACACACCACCAACCAAGTCGACCAATGACAACATAACACCCGGAATACACTAAGCCAAACATAGGCCCAAAACATTACAAAAGAAAAATCTTTCAGCCAGACAAAAGGACAAGATAAGCCTCCGACTACACAAAGTCAACAAAGAACCGTTAAAAGGTTTTTTCAAACCCGCAAACACACGGAACCAAAGGGAAAGAGGGCATACAAGACCTAATTACACAAAGCCAAGCAACAAACCATTAAACTAGCCGGTACTTAATCACCGTAAAGCAAAAAAAAAAAAAAAAAAACGGCAACCGGTCATTTTAACCCGCACTACACATTGAAGGAAAGCGGAAGAGGGTAACCATGAACCAAAATACACAAAGGGGAGAATGCAGAAGTTCCAACCTCAACTACACACTTGAAAGAAGTAACAAGGAATACCAGAACAAACAATATGTCCTGCACCTGTACTGCATCTTTGTAGGCAGCGCACAAAGTGCTGAATAACTAAAAAAAAAAAAAAAAGACGGGGGGTTTACATCTTGAGGAATTTTCTTGAGCTTTCTCCTAGATGCATTGATGGCTGGCTAATACAATTTCCCATCGACTTAATTCGGACTGTTTCCTTCACTACCCTTTTTATCTCATTTTCCTCTCGATGTATTACCTCCGTTTCCGACCAAAACACCTTACAATTGTTGCACTCAGACACGTGCTTGGCGATCTCCGAGTTCGGTGCCCCGTTTTTTACATTTCTTTTATGCTCTTTTATACGGTGACTAAGTACCGGCTAGTTTAATGGTTTGTTGCTTGGCTTTGTGTAATTAGGTCTTGTATGCCCTCTTTCCCTTTGGTTCCGTGTGTTTGCGGGTTTGAAAAAACCTTTTAACGGTGCTTTGTTGACTTTGTGTAGTCGGAGGCTTATCTTGTCCTTTTGTCTGGCTGAAAGATTTTTCTTTTGTAATGTTTTGGGCCTATGTTTGGCTTAGTGTATTCCGGGTGTTATGTTGTCATTGGTCGACTTGGTTGGTGGTGTGTGGACGTGGTGTGTATAAAAGTGCATACGATGGAATAAAATCCTTAGCTGTGTTTGAGACGTCGCCTCCTTGTGGCCTCTTTTCTTCTCGTCCCTTTTCCGAAATACCCCAGTCTCGGGTTAAACAAAACTATGGTTAACTTCCACCAGCTCGCCTGCACCCTTACAATTTTTTCACTGATTTTGTTGCCGGACGTTGCCAGCTCGTTGCAATATCTATTTTCTACTTTAACAGTCAATAGTGCTTGACAGTGAGATTATTTCAGATGCCTCGAAGTGACTTTGTCTGCTGTCATTCATCACTAAAAATCAGTCTTTGAATGCCACGTCATTCCAGAGGTGGTGGTGTTGACAATAGACCATCATTATCGTCATTTAATTTTACCATATTTTCTCGAATATAACTTTAGACACGGCACCTCTAGGCCATATTATGCTCAAAGTAATGCATTTCCAGAAGCTACCATGAAAATCACGGAGACATCAAAAATTAAAACAGAAAGGCTCATACTGAAGCTTTCTCTACTAGAACAGGCACAGCCTTGCAAAACTGACGATATGTTGATGTTTACATACCAAGCTCCCTCTCATTCCTGGGATGTTCATTTCCCGCCTGCCTGACACGTCAAAACTAAGTTTGAAGAAGTATACCTGGGAGAGCAGCGGAAAAACCTCGGTCGACAGCATGGCATGGGCACACTTGCGGAACTTCTAAGTAGTGATGACATTCGGACCTCTGATCTAAAACAGAAAGAGACAGTACAGACACCAGCATTGGAATCCAGGTCCTACTTTATAGACACAGGTATTGTGTGACGTGACAGGACCCATCTGTTTCTTTCCCTGAAAAATTTTGCGGCACAAAAGTTGTTCCCGATGAAAGTTCACTTAAAGAATGCAAAGACAGTTTAGGTCCACATACAAGGAGTGGTCAAGACACCTTGGAAACTTTGAATCTTCCCTTTCTGTGGAGATGTTGCAGGTAGCTGTATCTGGCAACAAAGCTGAGAGGGTTCGCCCGCATGTTCGACTGCTCATGTGCAGAGTGTCGAATCGAAATCTTTATCGGTTCGGTTGGGGTTCGGTTTCACGGCTTTCGGTTCAGTTCCGGTTCAGTTCCGGAGAGCAAAAATAACGATTCAATCCGGTTCGAACCGTTTTGAATCGCTAAAAATTTTTAAATATTGTCCCCGTTGTTTTGGCAATAGGCACTATTTCCACCGAGAAGCGAGTAATTCCCTAGGTTTATACTTTGAATGGAGAGCGTTCTGGTAAGGATAATATAAATAATGAGAAAAGCATAAAACACAGGAACGAACGAGACGATTTCCCGAATGTCGACTTGTCCGTCCCTCTGTTTTATGTTCTTCCCATTATTTATATTATATAGGTTTTTGTTTTTTACCGTTTGTATAATATACTTTTATTTTCAGGTACCAAAAATCACAAATTGCGTCATTTAATTTTGACACAGCAGTAAAAAAAAAAACAAAAAAACTTATAGATCAACATACAAAACGTCATGTTTATACTATGCAACATCCATGTTTACCTGTCACATATATATTACCTGAATTGAAAAGTGGTAACGAAGTGAGGTAGGTCGCCTAAAACACCCGTGATTGGTACACAACCTTGCGCCGCAGTATTAAATGTTGAAACGTAGCATTGTGCTATTGAATTAAGGAATTAATTACAGTGCATAAAATCATGGAATGGGCAACTCGTCCCTATATATATCGTAAAATATAGTTCACGAAATACGTTTCACAATATATTTCAGGGGTTTCAAACTCATTCGGGTGCAGGGGCCAGCTAGCGCACCCCACAAAGGTCGAGGGTCAACGCAGACAGAGAGAAAGAGAGAGAGAAAACTATCTTTAAGAAGCGAAGGAAAAAAAAAGAACATTAGTTGTTTTTTTGCTTTGCAAAGTAGCCAAATTTCTGAGAGCACATTTGAGATTTTCTAGACGAGGGACTTCGCGCTCTCTGGTTTTCGTAAACTTGCATCCTTAGCACTCGTTTCCTCATGCGCCTACTTTATGCCTATCCCTTATGTGATTTTGTGACAGCAAAATTTAAAATTACACCGCATCGCTAACTTGCTTGCATTTTTCAATGGAACAAATAAGCAAGCACACTATCGTACGTTGCCGTGTCGCTCAATTTTCTCGGGAATTAATCAAGGTCAACATATCATGAAAAAAAAAAAGCTTTATAAGACGGTTTTTGCTTGCCTGGAAATTTTTGTAGCAGCATGATTAGGCAATTCTTGTGTTTTAATTGTATTTTTTGGCTCCTAGAAACCCAAGCTCATAGTTGTATCCTTTGAAGTTGCTCCAACTGAGCAAGAGTTCGTGCAGGCGATGTCCGTCCTAAAGAGCTCGCGTTTGTAGCATACTAGTGGGATTGTCGTACAGGTGATTAACACGAGGAAGAGCTCAAAAGCAAAAATTAAGGCAAAGCAATACTGACTCTAAAGGAAACGAAATAGAGAAAAATCGGTGAACATGTTACAAGTTCATGAGCTACGTTTTAAGCGTAAATAAACTTACGATATGAGACTTGTTGGAACGAAGGTTCGCAGCCGCTTGATGCTTGTGGGTTGCGTCCCAGCGAATCGTGGGCCGCACGGTGCCCGCG